AACAGCTGGATTTGGTTGAACGCTGACCGTAGATTGCTCTCACTGACCGATGAGTAGATTTGCGCCTGGGCCCACCGGCGGGGGTGCATGGACACGTGTCTCGCGATTGAGCAATGGTGACCGTGCGCCGGCGGAACAGCGGATTACAGACTCCATTTCTTTGGCAATAAGACAACATGGTGGTTTGTTCACCAAGATATCATTTCCATCGAAAAACGAATTTGTTCTTTCTTTTCGATTTGATCTTCACAATTCTTGAATTGTCTTAAACTAATATTCATATTTTTTTACTTTTTTAATAAAGTAAAATAAAAAATTAAATAATCTAAAATTGTATTTTTTTTCATTTAAACAAATTTCATTCATCTTTTTTATGATATTTTTTAATAACATAAAGTTTAATGTTACAATTAATTCAAAAAAGATGTAATATTAGGTAACTAAAAATAGCATTGAATTTTAATGTTGCAATTAATCCATCATTTTTTCTCTAAAATAATCATTCAACAGTGCCAATGATCCTACGTATTGAGAAATTTAGTGCAAAAATTTAGATTATACTCATTAATATGAACTCCATTGATAACTCCTTGTTTTTAGAGTCTGTTTTAGATCTTAAATTTTTAACTTCCAGTTTATTATAGCTTCTTTTATTTATTTCTAATTTTTTCTAGTTTCTTCATATTATTAGGTTCTCACTATTTTTATTATTCACGCTCAATATTTTCTTTATCTTTTTAATATAAATAAGATAATTTTTTATATATTAATCTAAATGAGAAAATAGTTTCCTATAATGTTTTTGTATGTGATGGTATAAATTACCACGCAAATATTAAGTAAAAGTGATCGGAAGGGCTGTAGGTGGAAACACCTGTAACCCGGTTTGTTATTGATGATAATAGTAAGACTATTACAAAGTACAAGCCGTGTAGGTTAATTAAAACATGCCTCACAAATGAGGCTTTTAGGGGTATTTATAATAAAAACAAGCATGTCAAGCACGTCCCGACGTTACTGTTCTTCCGGCCGGTCAGTCTTCAGGTCATCCACCCCGGGTAGGCTTCAGGTCATCCACCCGGGTGGTCTTCCAGCCATCCACCCCGGGTAGTCTTCAGATCATCCACCCCGGGTGGTCTTCCAGCCATCCCTACGAATGAAGTCACGATCTCACATGTCTGACCTGCACATCCACCCGGTCAGTATACCGGGGTTGGTGCTAGTGGATTATATCCATCAAGGAGTCCTCCGATTCTCGTCTTTGTGGGCACCATCAAGGGCGGGAATCAAGTGTCTGAATAATTTTGAATTTTTTGAATCCTCGGGTATGGTTGGCGCGAAAGTTTTTCCGGAAATTTGGTACGCCGCCGCCTAGTCATTGCGTCGTTTCCTCTTCCTGGAGAGGGAGCGCTCCGACCGGGCTATTCACGCCACTACTTGGGCTGCGTAGAATCCATAGAAGTTCGTTGTCCAGGCACTTTCTGACCGGGAGGTTGGCATCCGGTTCTTCCAAGTGTCCCAGCAACTGATTGGTGACATTGGGATCTTTGGATTTGGGACCGGTCAGTACCATGCCTGTATGGGATCTTGAGCAACCGGGTGCGGGATTTTGACCCGGTCGTTCGAACTCTCAATCTCTTTGGTCACGGCCGAGCTGTATCTACCCGGTCTAATGCATCTCACTATTCTTTNTACTCGAGTAGAAAATAATCCACCCGGGTGGGTTTTGATAGAGCATGCCCGGGCTATGCTTCAAAGTTGATCATGTGAGTCATTTCTCCTTTCACCTGGGTGAACAAGAGCTCTAGTCCTCCGAGTGAGCAACGCAATCAATTCTTTCCTTTTATGGCCTCGGCCATGCCAACGGGAGAACATATTCTTGAAAAAGTCCTCCGAGCCAAGTTAAGTGAATCCATCATGACCCTGTCACTCACCCGAGTCTGAGTCTTGATCGGGTGGGCAGTTTTCTTTTTTTATTTATCTTGGGTAGGTTGGTTCACCATGACCTTGTCCAGGTGAAAAATTGTTCAAGGAAAGATATCGAAGATCGGGGTAGGCCCGATGTTCCCAGTCCGACCGGGCTCTTTTTTTGCTGAAACCGATGTGCAACCGGTATACCCAATTCGATTGGGCTCAGGCTTGCTGGAAAATATGTGCAATACTGGTGTGAGACCAGTGTACCAGTTCGAGTGGGTCACATATTTTCTTTATTATTTTTTATTTATACTGCACAAGACCGGTGTGAGACCAGTGTACCAGTTCGACTGGGTCGCAGTTTTTTTTAATATGTGCAAGACTGGTGTGAGACCAGCGTACCAGGCCGGGCCTGTGTCACATATTTTTATCTTTTTTTTTTTAGTTCAATTTGATTGAACACTGGCCGGGCAAATGGGTCTGCAACCTTCCCCGACCAGTCTTACCATCTTTTCTGAAAAAGTATGGTGTTCTACCCGGGTGGTTTTGTGATGTTCAATTCGATTGAACACTGACCGGGCAGATGGGTCTGCAACCTTCCCTGACCGGTCATACCATCTTTTCTGAAAAAGTATCACTTTATTGGACATTGGCATGGTACATATCCGGTCTTAGCGGATGATAAAACGGTTGTTCAACACTACTTTCTTCTTTTTCTCCCTACGAACTCTCTTCAAGAGCCTCTTCAAATGTTCTTCTGCTTTGTCCACCTGGTTGCTGGGTGGTTCAGCATGCGTGCGCATTGCCACTCTGGGCTGGCTTTTTGGCTGGTTCTCCGCTCTAGACACCCTGCTGTGTTGGGGCTCATTACGGAGGCAAGGGTCAAAGCGCCCGGTCTGACCGGGTCGCCTACCACCTTCCAGTCTGTAGAATTTGTCTGGCTTGGGAACCTTCACCCCCAACCGCTCCTTGGCCGGTCGGTTCTGGTTCCGCCCATCATGTCCCAGCCTCTGGAACGCTGACCGTCGTGAACCTTCCGGCTAGACGGCTTTGCCCTGCAGTTTTTTCTGGCCCTTGGGAATATCCGAGTCTTCATCCCTGCTGCGTACAGAGCGCACGCCCCCGTCGGGTGTGACCTGAGTGTGGAGCTTATGGGATCTGCTCATCCTAGACCGAGAAGGGCCTGCCCTTTCCAGCTCCCCTGGTGGTTTTGTTGGGATGACTGGCCGGTTGGTACTGGCCGGTTGAAACGACGGGAGATGCCCCAACGTGTTAGGAAGAGATGTATTTTGAGCCAAAGCATGGGGATACATCCCAGGGATGAAAAGAGTAAATCCCCCGGGTTGTTGGAAAATGGGCATAAATTGTCCAAAGTTTTGGAGGGCCTGGTTCGGTGTTGTTTGAGTAGTGAAGGTGGTGATCATGGGGGAGAAAAGAGAAGGTAATGATGTGATTCCTCCCGTGATCAGGGTAACACACTCCGCTGGGGTGGAAGCTTGGGAAATGATGAATTCCATATCGTTGTTCGTCATGGCTTCTTTTTGTAAAGAGGTCCCACGGGTGGCGCCAATTTGATGGTGTAAATTACCACGCAAATATTAAGTAAAAGTGATCGGAAGGGCTGTAGGTGGAAACACCTGTAACCCGGTTTGTTATTGATGATAATAGTAAGACTATTACAAAGTACAAGCCGTGTAGGTTAATTAAAACATGCCTCACAAATGAGGCTTTTAGGGGTATTTATAATAAAAACAAGCATGTCAAAGCACGTCCCGACGTTACTGTTCTTCCGGCCGGTCAGTCTTCAGGTCATCCACCCCGGGTAGGCTTCAGGTCATCCACCCGGGTGGTCTTCCAGCCATCCACCCCGGGTAGTCTTCAGATCATCCACCCCAGGTGGTCTTCCAGCCATCCCTGCGAATGAAGTCACGATCTCACATGTCTGACCTGCACATCCACCCGGTCAGTATACCGGGGTTGGTGCTAGTGGATTATATCCATCAGTATGCAAAGACAATAAAAAAACAAGGCCAATCATTGTCTCGCGTGAAAATTTTTCTCAAGAAGCCTATATTCAGTCACGAATAATTATATGTTGCAGTATCAAAAGTCACAAATCATAGTAATTTAAAAATATTAATATGTGATGAAAATGGGGAACCAGCACGCTCGACACTAAACATAATTTATAAAAAAAGTTTTTCATGACATGTGAACGTTATAGTAATTTGTTGTGTAGTCTTTTCGTTCTCACTTCAATATTGAGAAATAGTTTTTAGATTTCTCGTCAATTTCAATGTATATCATTTCCCAATACTAATCTATTTGCATATATGGAAACCTTAAATAAACTATACTGATCATTCTATAACATATTATTGGTCATGCAACGCACGAGCATGAATCTAGTTATTAGTAACATAATAATAATAATTAGTATTATCTTCATTATTATTATTACGACAACTATTATGTTCTGAACTATAGTTTTTAAACTATTTCATTTTTAATTTTTTTTCATGTCACCATTTTTACGATTCACACTCTTCTAAATTGACAATAGGATTGCATTTTTCTAATTTTTATAAAAAATTTTGAAAGTCAAAATATTTTAGAGAAAAAAAAAAGTAAACTATGAATAAACGTAAAAACGTACCAAATATGAGTTATATATTTTTATTCCAAAAATAAGAGTTGCAATGTAAATATAATGTCATTAATGAAAGAAAAAAAAGATTTGATCACATTATGTGACAGATCTGATATGTAAAATAAAATATTGTAATATATAAAATGTAATTAAAAATATATTTTTTCTAATATATATTGCATAAATAAATTAAGGCGCAACGTAACCATAATAACTTTTTAAATTTTAACGTTTCAATATTTATGCTAACATTATATATATTCTAAAAATTTATTTTGTGAAAGTAGATTTTTTTTGTATGAAAAATGACAAAATAGTTTTTAAACTTAATAATAATAATAATAAATTATAACGACAATCATAATGGGAAGAATATAAAAAATAAACTTAAATATTCTTTTATAGTTTTTTCTAGATTTCCAATCTTTTTTAGATTGTCTAGTCTATCTAATTTTTTCGATTCCTTTCGTTTTTTCAAATTTTTTCCAGTTTTATTAGTTCTTAGTTTCTTCAAACTTCTCCCAACCATCAAACTCTTTCTCATTCTCGCGAAGCTGGGGGTACCGGATTCGACCAGGCTTTATCTTATTTCTGGACAGAGCTGAAAGATGGTCGGCGCTTCGCCGGAGACGGAACCACATCAAGGCAGCGCAACAAGCATAACGGACCTGGACGCCGACACGTTGGCTAATTGCGCCAGCTTCCTTTGCCTCGAAGACGTTGTGAGCATGGCAATGTCCAGTAAACAACTCCAAGCAGCAGCTTATTCAGACCATACATGGAATTCATTATTCAGGTTCTTACTCAATACCCATCCAATTCACTCATGTTGTTTCAGGAATCAATCAATCGGACTAATTCTTAACATATCCCATGGGGATTTGCACTTTGTTGTTCAGAAAGAGGTGGCCCTTACTCGTCCCTTCCGGATTTCCTCACCAATTGGGCGCAAGAGAGGCTTATTTAAGCCGTCTTGCATATTCGCATCAGTTAGTGTTCAGAAACCCTAGCAGCGCAGCATTAATGACTGAGACGACACCGCATGATATTTTACTGATGGACGAGAATGATATAGTTTTGTCGAAGGTACGCATCCTGAATATGTTTGGAGTTTTATGAGATTTTTCGTGGCTCACGAACGGGTTTAATAACAATTTCGTTACTGGCATTTCCCTGTTCTTGTTTCGCTTGTACACCTTTTGTTGCAATTTTAGTTTGATGATTGATACTTGTATACCTATTATTATTGTCATTTTCGCTGTCGTCAAGATAACAAAATCTAGTTTTGGTTTGTTATTTGTACTCAGGGCTCTGTGGTTAGATTTTACAGGAATTGTCATCTTTATGAAGAAACTAAACTCAGTGGTCACGAGGCTAGAATTTCATGTATGAGGTAAGAGGAGGGGAATAATGTTATTTGCATTATTCGCAGTCTACATTTGGTTTTCGAGACGAACCAGAATTCAAATGAGTAGCCTAAGGTTTTTCTATGTATTTGCACCAATCCTGTTCAGTTTATTTATAGCATACTAATATATGTACGGAGTATTTGCGATTTTTGTTCTTGATATTGAACTGTTTAATTAGTCTGTTTTCCCATTAATAGATTTTTTCCTATCGATGAAACACCTTTTCTGCTAAGCAAGGATCAAGGGAATGATAGCTTTTTGGTAACCGCAAGCCTTGATCATTCAATTCGGATATGGCATCAGGTAGTTATTTAGCTGCAATACTTTGACAATTGGCCCATAAATGTTTGTAAGGAGTTGCCATTTCTTTGTCTTAGGTCTTTATACCTTTGTACTACTGTGTTTTATAGGATCGTTGCTTACACAGTTTGAGAGGTCATAATGGTCCGGTTTCTACACTCTCTGATCGATTACTGGGTAGTTCCCCTGGAAAATTGATTGCCAGTGGGGGTGAAGATGGTACGGTTCGACTATGGTCTGTTGAACCTGGCGGAAAGCATGGCCAGAGTGCTTTGAAAGCAACACTACATGGTCATGACAAGTCCGTTGTTCTTTTGTCCGTGGCCAGGTATTGCATTGTTGCTTTACATTTAGTTTAAACCATCATATTCATATCACAAATCCTCATGATGCTCAGCTTATTCATAAGGTGGATTGGGACTGTATTTTCTTTCAAGGGAAAAGTTTTACTCCCTCCAGCCTTATATACAAGGGATTTCTTACTACTCAAATGCCAAAACAATCTTTAAAAATCATACGGAATAATTTGACATTTGACCATTTGTTTACCAATTGGCCCTCAGAAAAGACAAGTACTGTGATGCAAGAAATTACTCCGTATTAAAGAAATGAAGGGTATATTTGGAAGAAAAATATTGTTCATCTAAAAAAAACGTCTGGATCTTCTATAAATTGGATCCATCCTTCTACATACACCTTTAATAAAGGGACCAAAAGGAGCATAGTAGAATAGCCTGGTTTTATGTATATGAGTATATCTCCCTTTGCAATTTTGTTGAAAAGGAATCAGTCATCAAGGTATCAAAGTATCAAAACAGTAATAATAATAATCTGCCTTTTATTTATTTAATGTTTTTGGTCTAACCATCATTTCCACTTGCACCACCTGAACTGCTTTAAATATTTACGGATTATTTTAAAATTCTCATGCATACTGATTTTAAAATAGCATGAAATGACAAGTTTTGGCAGGGAGATAAAGCTGCAACATTCGTGATTAATTTGATTTATTTGTTATGTGTCCAAACTCGCTTTTTAGGCACATAACATCCCTTCTAGTGAGCATCTCTGAGAACTCCAAGGTACTTAATTGATCACCTTTGTTTTTTGAATTACAATGTTGGTCTATTGCCTCTCTACTTTCGAGTAGAGATAAAGTATGTGTACACACACCCTCCCGAGACTTACTTTGGTGGGATTTCCAAATTACTCAACATCTCATTCTTACATTTCTAATTACCTTAGACGCAATTCTCATGCCTTATTTGTGTTATTCCTCAAATTACATCCCCAATTCCCAAATATTATTATATCATATTCCCAAGAAATTTGGGAATTGGATATGTAATATGGATAAGGACATAATTTAGGGCATGAGAATTGTGTTGGAGGTAATTAAAAATGCAAGATTATATTAAGTATGAGATAAATATGCTATCTCAATTAATTAGAAGTGCTAATTAGGTTTAAAGTCCATTTTCAATTTTTTTTTTGTATTGATGACTTAAACCAAAAAAATTGCAGGGACCAAAAACAAATGTCGTCTCTTTTACAGGAACTAAAAACATACTCTGTATTTAACCCGTTTTTTAAACTATAATGTTGGTCTATTATCTGTGCTTCATGAGTAGATTTGCTGATACCGTTTTAATCTTATGAAGGTGATGGTTTGGGATGCTACTACGTCATCATCTCAACTTAAATCTTCTTCTTTGGTTGGGAAGGCTACTGTCCCTGGTACTCCTGTGGGCATGAAATGCCACGAATCACTGGTCTACGTTGCTGCAGGGTCGTCTGTGGTTGGAATTGATTTAAGAACCATGCATAATGTATTAACATTAAAGCTTGACGAAGACGTACATTCTTTTCAAATGTTGCCTCACAATTCCTTCATCTGCACAGGCCTAACTTCCAGGTAAGACATCCTCCATCTATCTCGACCAACAGAGTTTTTTTTTTACTACTAAAGTATGCACAAAAAAAAAGAAAATTTAGCAGTCATGACTCAAAAGGAAGCTGTTAGCAATGCAGTCTAGCATTGGCACTTGTTAAGCTATCCCACATCAGCCCAACATAAACTAATATGTACTCCTGTCCCTAAAAGAACTAGACAAATTGACTTTACGAAGTTCAAAAACGTGTAGAAAAGTGAAAGGTGTTTGATTCTTGGCCAGGGCAATGCTTTGGGATGTCAGGAAATCCAGTGACCTGCAGGAAATGGCCGAAAATGTAGCCGAGATGAAGGGACCCGCGGGCAAAATTACTCTCTTACATATGGACTCATACAAAATAGTGACAGGTGGGTATGAAGAGGGGTGTGTGAACGTGTGGGAGACGGGAACGGGCAAACAAACGAATTCCCTGAATGGTTGTTGCCATTGTCTTTCCATGGCTGCTCATGACAGTCGGATCGCTATGACCTCTGGCGATTGTGATTATGGAGATCCAAGTCAGTTGCGCGTCATGCACTTTCGTAATGCCCGTTCTCGTTGTCTCTCGTTTGAGGCCACTCCTTCCTCTGAATGAAGAAGAACCAACCCGATGGCGAACGAGTTCCCTGAGTTATTTTTGCCATTGTTTTAGTATGGTCTAGTTAATACAGAGTACTTTTTACAGAAGCAGTTTATACTCCTCTCAGCCCCCTAAAAAGAAGCTTTTGGTACGAGTTACGATGTTTGGCTGAAATAATTTTCCAATTTAGTTTTTTTGAAACTTCGTGTAGACTTAAGTTGTAGTTTCGTTTGTAAATAAACTGTGCTAGTAGAATGTCCAACACAAAAAATGATTTAGGGCTTGTTCTTTAGGGCTTGAACTCTTAACTTCCAGTTTTTTTTAGTTTCTTCCAGTTTCTTCCAGTTTCTTCCAGTTCCTTCCAGTTTCTTCCAGTTTCAGTTTCTTCCAATTCCTTCCAGTTTCTTCCAACTTTTTTTTATTTTCTTCAAATTCTTTCTACTCCTCAACCAATTACTCTAAAAATGATACTCCCTCCGTCCTAAAACTTTCTTCCCAGAGCACTATTCCTACTTCACGGGAATTTATATTTATTTGTGTTTTTTCACGGCCTATATGATAAAATAAAATATTCTTGTCACCATTTGTTTTGTTGAACTTTTGATGTAGTTTTTAAATATGTATATTTTATTTTTTATTTCTATACCAATATTTAAATAAAATAGATTGAAAAAACTTGAGATCTTTCTTCGTTTTGCGCAACGGGAAGAAAGATATAGGACGGAGGAAGTATATTTCAATGTGATTATTATTATTATTATTGTTATTATTATTATTATTGTTATTATTATTATTATTATTATTACAACTGTTATATTCATAACTGTAGTTTATAAATTATTTTCTTCATCTCACTATTTTTACGATTCACACTTATTATTTTTTTATTCAACTTTTTAATATGAATAAGACATTTTTTTGTATATTAGTTACATGATAAAACAGGAAAACATTAATATGTTAAATTATACTAAAAAATTATGGATAGAATAGTTACATTGAATGTTTTATTAATATAACTTTTTATAAGACATCTCAGTTTTACCTTTATTACTTAAAAATTGCTCATTTTTCTAATTTTTATAAAAAAAATTATAAGTCAAAAGAGCTTAGAGAAAAAGACTAAAATATGAGTAAAACATAATAATAATAATAATAATAATAATAATTTATAACAACATGAATTTAAAATAAATATTTTTAAAGTTTTTTTAGGTTTTCCAGTTTTTTCCAGTTTTTTCCAGTTCCTTCTAGTTTTTTCCAGTTTCTTCCAGTTCCTTCCAGTTCTTCCAGTTTCTTCAAGTTTTTTCCAATTTCTTTCAGTTCATTCCAGTTTTTTTCAGTTTCTTCCAGCATCTAGCTCTTTTTTTACCGTCCTAAAGAACAGGCCCTTAGTAGAAATGAGAAATGGGGTAAAGCACATGGGTAAGATGAGGATGAGGAATTTCTAATTGAATGGGCAATATTGTCAATCCATGAAAAAAATTAAAAATACGGAGTGCCACTTGTAAAATTAGGGTTGTAGATATAAACTCCCCTTTTAAACATAAATTTCCCGAAATAATTCGTATGATTTTTTTGGGGCATAAATTTCAACCTTCCTTTTTGGGACGTTCCAAAATACTCTGAGTAATAAATATATCCGTAATTCTTTTGAGGAAAGAATTTGGTGATTTTTATTTTTTTTTCCTCGAATAAATTTTAACTAAATAATTTTATCATTTTATTAATACTATGAAAATGTAAACATGAACTTGTTTTTTAGGAGGGATGAACTTTCTCAAATACTACGGTAATCAACAAGAAAAGTGGGGTGTTTCTTGGTAATATGTCAACAAGCCTTATATTTATCTAAAGCAGTAGAGATGTGTTTCTGTCTAGACTCAAGACCCTTGACTATGAAACACTTTGAGTGGTTTTACACATGTTATACACACACACACAAATCTTTGAAACTACATTTGAAGTTTTATAAAATAAAAGACAAAAATATTTTTTTGTTTTATCAAATAATTACTCCCTTCGTCTGGAAATGTTCTTCTCATTTGACTTTTCACGGTCTCCAATATTGTGCTTTGACCATAAATTTAATATTTGAAAACTACGTTTCATCATGAATATATTGATATTAAATTTATATCATAATACAATGTGTTTTTTCACAAATCGTAGTCAAAGTTTACAAACTTTGACCAAGAAAAGTCAAATGTGAATTGAAGAACATATTCGGACGGAGGGAGTAATAAATTACTCAAATAATCAAAAGTTATTAAGAGACCAAGATAGTATTAAGCCTATATTTCTTAAGACGGATGAGCATTATTTATTTATAGGAGGAATCAATTAAGAACAAAAGGATGAATCCATGTTTGAGCTTTGAGCTTAGAATCGGTCAGATGATTACTTGAGAGAAAGTAAATTAGGTTTAATCACATATTGATAGCGAAAACAAGAGTCTACAACTTATACTTACAAGATTTTAATACTTTGCATGGTTATCTCCTGACATAATTATTAAGAATCGAATTTGAATATTATTTTATAGACATCTCTTTCAAAATCTTGTCTGGGTCTTGAAAAATAAACACACACACCTACATAATTCCGCACGTTGCTTTCAGTTGGCCCTATTTTAATTTGTGATCTGTACTAATTAATTACTTGGTCATTAATCAACCATGTCCCACATTTAAAAAAAATGAAGTGTTTTTTTCAAATTATTTACGGAGTAATTAATACTGAAAAACTCACTTCGTATGATAATTAGCCTTTTCTATGTATTCTTTTTGAAGTTTTTCGAAATAAATAGTACTCTATCCGTCCTAAAATATTGTCACAATTTGATTTTTTACTCAAGTTGCGACATCTTTTGGTCACAAATTATGGAAAAAAGTGAAATGGGGTTTATTTTAAATATAGTTTTAGAATATCAAATTTTTATAAAATTTAATTATTTTAAACTATATTTAATTCATTGTAAAAATGTGCAACAACTTGATAAAAAAAGTCAAACTGTAGCCACATTTTAGGGACAGACGGAGTATGTTAATTGGCATCAGTTCAAATGCGTATAAATTGTGGTTTTCAATGTATCTAGCTCATTGGCTTAATTAAATACCGAGTACTATCTCTTTAAATTTGAACCAACATGTGGTGTGAGCATGAGTAGCTCAATTGGTCCAAGGAGATGACGTCAAGCTCGTTGATCTTAGGAGCAAATCCTGCCGCATCGACGTTAGACGACCTCTCTAAGAACAAGATTGAGATTATGTGGTCATTGGTCAATGATATATGGAGGCCAGGCCTCTCTAGCCACCACTAAGAGCGGCGACCGGTGCCCGACCAGGGGCATATCCAGGATGGATGGATGGATGGATGCTGACTGGGAGCATAACAAAAAAAGAATTGTTTTCCAAGCTGAAATAAAACGAGGGCCACACAAAAAATTTTATATGAATTATACTCTAATTCTTTAACATGTTTTCAAATCTTATTCGATTTTCATTTTTTATTTTCAATTTAAATGAGCTCATCAAAGTTATTGGGGGCATACTAATTTCTTGATAGAGGGCATTTCTTTCTACAACCGAAAAAGACAAATGTTTTTATATAAAAAAGATAAAATGAATTAAACCCACTATGGGCATGTGCGCCCCATAGTTGCACTTGGATCTGCCAATGTGCCCACGGGTGGTAACCATAGGTGAAAGCTAGCTAGTGGCGATGGCCGTAGTGAATTTTTATATAAGCTTATGAACAATAAAGTATAAGTATTTGTGAACATACACCACATCATTCTATAGCCAAGAAACACTTTGTGATTTGATATACTTAAAAAAATTAAAAATAAAAGCACTCCATCCCCACCATATAAAAGCAAGATAGCAAACAAAATTAAAAATAAAAAAGAAATGGAGGGTGAAGATGCATGGTGTAAAAATAGGGTACACCATTTTGTGTACCCCTAGTATTCCTCAACAATTGTTATACGATGCAACTCGATGTTTCTTGTTCTTATCTCTCTACACACTACACTCAAGTGTTTCATAAACATATCACTCAAAAATCCTATCGCAAAACAAAAGGTGGATACCCAAAATCAAATTTATTTGTTGATCGTTGAACACCAACAACAAGGGCGTCATTCGTCCAATCCTATCCGACACAAGGCGTGGATGATTGAAAGAAAATAGGTTATCCTAAAACTAGTATCTTGCACCGACACATATTCAGATCTGACTTGAGGTTATTTTTTCACCCAAATATCTGGGCGGGCTAGACCCCCAACTTTCGGGCAAAACATCATGCCCATATCGGATCATGTAGGGGATCCATACGGGCCGCATAGTGACGTAGTCCAGAACTTTTTACTTCCTAATATATAAAAGTAGTTTTAAAGATAATACATTAAAATATTTGCATGCATCTATTATTTTATTTTTATTACTAATTTACTATAGATTAAATATAAATATGATTGTTATGCCATACAATATTATAGAATTATGATTGATTTAGTTAGTACTCGTATAAAGTACAGAATTATATGGTTCCAAAAACAGCATAATATGTATTGTTTCTAAGCATAAGACCTCTGCAATTATCTGGTACGGCCTCTATGCTTTGCCATTAACTCATTATCAAAGTCTAATTTACTTCTTATCGGTCACTCTTCGGCCGAATCTAGATGGTGGAGCTCATCTTTCTTTAGTGGGAAAATGTCTACCTAGTCAACACAACAACTTGGACGTGTCTAGGTTAACCGCATACAAGTGTTTTGTTTTATCACTTTATGACTATAATAACTCAGTCGTCTTATGTAAAGACCAAAGAAGCCTCAAAGTAATTGTGCAATGATAGATAAGTCAACTAGTGCAGCTGTTGGATAAAATAGTTATGGAAATTGATGTCTATTGTCTACGCCCTTTTTTTGTTTTTATACACTTCATTTGGTTATTATTTTTCAAATGTTGTTCTGTCTTTTTCTAACTTATTTACTAAAGAAAATATGGACAAAAAACTAGAAAAGTTCAAACCAATCTTAGCTTTGAAAAACTCTTTAAAACAAATGTTGCACAAGAATACTCTTAAAAACAATTCAACAACAACAACAGCAACCCAGTTAAATCCCACAAGAGTAGGGTCTGGGGAGGGTGTGTGTACGCAGACTTTGCATCTACTCGAAAGTAGAGAGGCTGTTTCCAAAGAGACCCTCGGCTCAACGTCGAAAGTTACATTGCTTGACTAACTGCTACTTCATTAAGTAAAAAAACGCAGATAGTTTAGGGATCCATTTTGATTTATTTCATCACACTCCAAAGCCAAAAAATAGTGAAATTTTAGCTCCATGGGAGATGATGGAAAAACTCTTAAAAACAATTCATGTTACAAAAAGTCCTCTTCTTATGTCTATGCTGATTTGGATGCTTCATACTGCATTGTTAACCAAAGAGGGAATCATAGAAGGGATTGACTAGGGTGCGAGATTGTGCGAGGAATAACTGTCGAGATTATGAAATATGAATCATTTCAGAGTGAAACAAAATATCATACAATAATCGAATAGATCAATGTCATATTATGATACAAATAATCAATGTCAAAAGACTGAGCCTCCCAATAATAAAAGTTAAAAGAAAACCTTAAGATGAAACAATTAATATTTAGTCACAAGTCTAATTCAAATTACTTGATTGAGTTGAATTCATGTTAAGCTTGTATTCATTGAATGAAATTTCGATAGTATTTTAATGTTGATCTCATCTAGGTGGCTAGATCTTTTGTCTCTTAATTTGCATGTCTCAACTCTCAATTTCAACCCCAAATTAAGACACATAACAGAGTATATCCCATGCTTAGCATAACCCCACCATTGAGGGGTGGTGGGAAAGGGAGCATATGTAAATATGTGTTGGTGAGTTTGTGCTAATTAAGTAGGAATCAATTTATGTTATGTGGCACAATTTGAGAGATATGATATGAATCCGAGTTGAGACGACATAGACCTCGAGCCTCATCCGGTCATTGGAGTGGAATTTGGATGAGATTGTGTTTGGTTAAAGAGAAAGTAAGAATTTCAAAAGTTTTCTCCTGTTTAGATAGAGAGAAAAAGGAAGGGAAAAGAAAATAAAAAAATAAATTTTATAAATAATTCTTTATAACAAGAGTTTTTTTTTATATTTAGGCTTCTATTATCAAATAATAGCTTCATGGTCCTTTTTCATTGACACTTTTTCACAAATGGTTAGCATATATAACAATCATTCCTGGCCATAACCACAAGCTTGAACTTTTGGTTGACTTGGTTCATTGACATGGTATCAGAGCCTTGATGACTAAGAGGTCACGAGTTCGAAACTCACCGCCACCCAGTTTAAAAAAAAATTAAAGTTTCACGTGCAAGGCTCAAAGAGGTCACGCCTGCACGTGAGGGGGCGTGTTAGAGTATATAACAATCATTTCTGGGACGAACCAATCACACTATAAGAGACATCATAAATTCTTTTGTTTCTTTTACAATTTCTATATTTTTTCATTTTAACTTCATATTCTACTCATTCAAATAATAATTAATTTTTTTCTATTTTCTTCATTTTTTTCTTCTCTTTATTTTATTTTTCTCATTTTTCATTCTTTACATTATTCAATTCTCACCACATCCCATCAAAACAATGCATTTTACACAAAATCAATCGCCAATATGAAAAGGATCGGAGAAAAGCCAATAAGATAAGAATAAAGAATCCGCTCTTGGAACAGCACATAGGAATCCCCTAAGCTTGGCCCCTGGTTTTCCCTCCTCCCTCTCTAGAAACCAGCTTTTCTTTCCCTGTTCAAACTCTTATCTCTCTCATTTCCTGGCCATTTTTGTCCCCCCATTTCTCATAGTATCTGTTCTTCTTCATCCCATACCCACCCCCATACCCTACCCTACCCCTACCCCCCCCACCACCATCATCAGATCAACTCTTTCTCAGACGCAAAACTGTACACGTGTTCCCTGTAAACAGCCCCAGCTCCATAAAGAATTGACATTTAAAGGAATGGGCTGCGTCTCCATTTCATTTCTCTTGATACCCAGATCACATCTTCAGTGTTTCTGTGACCCGAACTGAATCGTCTCGGATTAAAGTTTCGATCTTTGCCACTTTTTTTGTTTTGTTTTCTTGAATCGCCGCCCGGGAATGGGGATTGATAAAACCGCGAGTGATAGGAAAGGAAGGAGCAGTGAGGCCAAGAAACAGCGCAATCGGCAGAGGAGACTTCATCCGGTTCAGAATCTTTACGACACTTGCAAGGAGGTGTTCGCCGATTGCCGGCCGGACGTCGTGCCGTCGCCGGAGAACGTCGAACGGGTCAAGGCTATTTTGGGTATATAGTAATTCTTTCACCTTTTGTTTTGATTTGTTTGGCTGGGTATGTTCAAAATGGTTGCTTTAAGTTATGTTGTGTACAGAATGGATGATGATAAAAGGTTACCATATCCCTTAGGGGTTGTTTGGTTGTCAAGTCTTTAAGCCTCATTGGATTATTTAGTTTAGGTTTGATTTTGAAGACTGGGGAGATTGATAATGACAGTGTACTAGTTGCAGCAAATGATCAAGTTTTTGTCTTTTTAGAATGTTCATTAGAAATGATTTGACAGAGAAGTTATATCATGATAGGGAATTAAGCTTCATATAAACTATTGATATTCCCTTTCTTGAATTTTGTTTCTTGTTGGATTGATTTATTTCCACTCTATTATCAAATTTTTTTGTATCAGTATCCAAACAGTCCTTCAAGATTATTCTTTGTCCATGCATTCATTGAATTCCAAGGCTCTGTTTGTCATTAGTTTCTGTGTTCAGCTTCAATAGTTGCCATTAAAAATCTGCCATGTTCCAAACAAAGCCTTAATCTTAATAGTTGGTTTATTACATTAACTTTTTTTGTTGCAGATAAAATGTCGGGGACGGACGTTGGCCTCTGGCCGTCCCAAACATTCTTCAAGGCAACCGGAAACGATAAGCCTCCAAGAATCACATACATGGGCATCCATGAATGCGACAAGTTCTCGGTATGGATTATTTCATCACAAGCTTTTGTTTTAGGGTCATGCTACATTAAAATATCGCCAATGACATCATCACTAGTGTCCGTGATTGTCTCTGATGGTGTCAACTTTAGTGAATATTTACATATCTGTTTGAATAGCATCAAAGTTTATGAAGATGATTATAAATGACATTATTATTATTATTGATAGTTATGTAAATGTATGATGGATGATAATGGCAGATAGGGATATTCTGCTTGCCACCATCAGGGGTTATGCCTCTCCATAATCATCCAGGAATGACAGTTTTCAGCAAGATTCTTTTTGGGAAAATGCACATTCAGTCTTATGATTGGGTGGATGGTGACCCCAATGTTGACAAATCTTGTAAGTTCTTAGTTTCCTTAACACTATATTTGGTTCAATTTGAGAGGGAAAGGAAAAGAAAATGAGATGGAAAATATTTTTCTTGGTTGGCTAGAGAAAAAAAAAAGAAAAGTGAAAGGAAAAGAAATTAAGAAGGCAAAATGTACTAAAAGAAAAAACAAAATTCTTCCTATTTTGGTGAGGAAAACCATTTTCTTATCCTTTCTTCCAAATTCCTTGAACCAAACATAGCATAAAAGAATTTATTTAAGGAAAAATGATTGTTTGAAATTTATTTAAATGAACTTATTTAGAAAAAGAGAAATATTGCATGCCACATACAGAGTACTATTTTCCTTAAAAGTGAAAAAAACGTGAAATGTAGATTTAATTTTGGAACCGGACGAAAAAAGAAAGTGTAAACTTGAGTTTGAAATGGAGTATGTGTCTATTTGAAATGCTTCTTTTTCTTCTTAGACTAGTCTCTCAATAAAGAGTCATTGTCACAATTCAAGGATGTTGTTTGTATCTAAATTTGAGGTTGTCAAACATGTAATGCTTGCTAAGGGTGTGTTTGGTTGGAACGGATTGGGGCGAGGGATGGGAAATGCTCCCTTCCCATTTAAAATGGGAGGGAAAACAACCAAAATTTTCCATTCTCTCTGAGCCCAATTCCCTATGATTATAACTTAATTTACCTACCTCCAGACAACTATCTAGTCAGTCTTGAAAAAGATCCCAATGATGGGATTCTTTTTTTAACACTGGACTGGCGAGCTGACTGGGGGCTAGCTAATGTGGGCATGCATGCAGGCAATCCTTCTGGGGTTCGTTTGGCGAAGATGAAGGTGAATTCGGACTTCAGTGCGCCTTGCAAGAGTAGCATCCTCTACCCTAAAGATTGCAACATGCATTGCTTTCGGGCGTTGACTGCATGCGCCGTTCTTGACGTGCTCGTCCCGCCTTACAACGACCTCGAAGGTCGCCATTGCCAATACTATTCGGAGTTCCCATTTTCCAACGGCCCAGGTACACTCCCACTTCCCTTTTTCCCTTCTGAATTCCTCGAACCAAACATGACCTTAAGGAAAAGCTTGCTAAGTTGCTCCACAACTTGCACATTGTGGTTGAAGGTGAAGAAGGTGTCGCCCAATCCGCTCCAGAAGTGCCCGAAGAAGGCCCAGAAAAAGGCTATGTATGGCTCAAAGAACGGGCGATGCCCGAAGATTTGGCCTTTGTTGGGGCTTTGTACAAAGGACCAAAACTAGCCAAATAAGCCACCCCCAAAATCTTTGTCTCATTGTACATTTTGCTTGACGAGAGCACGTCAAAACATTTGGTTTTTTTCTTTCCCTTGGGGGGGGGGGGGCTTTAGTTTTATAGGTAAGAAAATATACATAGGGAAAGAATGCAAACTTTTCTTTTTTGCTTTTTATTGGTCTCTCTTGTGGTTTGAAGAAACAGCTCTGTATATATTTTACCAGTAAAATTTAAAAGGAAAAAATAACAGTCCGGAAGAACAACATTAGTAGTAGTTTTGTTGTTGGTTAAAGTTGTGGATAATTTTTTAATGTTGTGGTTTCACATTGACTTCAATATATTTGACTATTTGAGATCAATGAGAACACCATTTTGGTATAATTTTTAAATTTTTAGTATTGGTGTTTTAATTTTGATGCTTTTTAATTTTTACACAATGCAAATTACTCGGAAATTTTTTAGTTTAAATAATATTTTATCTCTCCGTCCTTTAAACTCTTTCTCGAGTTTGAAAATAAAAACGCCCTGATGACTTGTTGTGACTTGTTGAGAAATTTGTCAACGACAAGTCATGAAAAAGTTGTTTAAAAAAGGCCTCTTCATAGATTCGGTGGTTAATACACCGGTCCAAGAAGGAGCGGAGCAATGAAAACTTTGATGAGTCCTCTCATAGTGTTTGATAAATAAAAGTGATTTTTTTTAGAAACGATGACGTACTATAAGAAAGTTGAACCCGGCCTATCCTAGGACCTCCAAGATAGGCATTATCCTCAATTATTTTTGTTGCCAAGAGTTGAATCTAGACATCATCCTTTTTGAATCGCTATTTAACAAGTAAGTCATGTACTAAGCATTGAAGTATGATGCTCTTTGCGTCCCTAAACGAATTATAAAGTAACTATTTTGGAAGCACGATAAGTGTCATTTACTTCTTTGTTTTCTTGACCATTTAAACTTTGATGAAATAAATGCATATGTCACCTCTTCTTTGTAGATTTTTTAAAACTATAATTTTTAATAAATAAAAATATTTAATTTTACCTCATTATTTTATTATATCTCATTTTGGGATTTAAGAGTAAAAGCCTCTTGTAACTCAATTACAAATAAGGGAATCAGAAGCTAGTGCCTCTTTCTGAATTTCTTTCCAGGGAGAATGATATTTAAAACCAAGAAATCTAGGAAGACTAATATACTGTTCTTTAGCTTTGGAAATGACATCCTCGTACAAATCTTTGGTGAAGTAAATATCCAAATCAATATCTTCAATCACAATGCATTTATCTTTCACATACCCGCTAGATCCCGTTGGAGCCTAAAGTATAAAACAACATATGCAAGTATAGAGATTTATAAACTCATAAGAAAAATTATAAAACAATCAGAAATTTGATAGAACAATGCAAATTTGATAAAACAAAATTAATTTTAACAATCTAAATCCTTGATTCATGTTCAGTAGAATAATTGAAAATAAAAACCCTAGATTCATATTGTTAAGTAAAATCAAAGAAAAAAAATAATAAACCCTAGATATTTGATAAAGCCTAAACCCATCAGTAAAATTGATCCCCAACACGTATCTTTGAGACCGTTTAAGGAAGCCAATCTTGACAGGATGCCAAAGAGGAAGCAAATCTTTGCTTTGAATGGAAGAATGAGGAAAAGTGTGGACTTTGTCTATCTTTTTTGGGAAAAAATGAGGGGTATAATGGACAAATCAGATCATAAACGATGCAATTCTTCAATCACAAACAATATATTTTAATCCCCAAGAGTATATTTAGAAAAGGATGGGACCTACGAGTCCTTATCCTAAAATTAGAGTACCTCGCAGTAATTTTTTGCCTTTATTTATTTATTTATTTATTTTATTTGTTTTGATGATAACACATGGTCCCAGTATTGCCTTGTCAGATCCGATCTGGACAAACCCCCAGTGGCAGTGGCACAGACGCGCATCTTATTCATTTTCTCGGAATTTCTGAAGCGATTGATTGGTTCATACCCGGCTTCTCTATCACGCAAATCTCGGAATCTCTGCTCTTTGAGAAACTTCAATCGCCCAATCGTCTAAAGTTTCGATCTTCTCCGCATGTTTCTGTGAAATTCCAGCGCTACTTGATCTTCGGTAAATCATAACTACTTCTGTAATTCTATTCCTCTCCAGTTGTTTATGATCTGAACTGTATGTCGCATCTTGATTATAAACTCTCTGTGTTATGCGCGGCACCAAGCCGATTACTTTTGGTCTGGATTTGTTGAAACCCTATCTGAATTGGAGAGAATCTTTTTTACTTTTATCTACTTTTTACGGATCTAGGGTTTTGTTCTGTTCCGCCATTAGCTGTGTCTTTTATTTGGTGGATGAAAAGGAAAGGTCTTTGATTGCTTATTGTTGTTAGTAGCCGTATCAAACGGATGGAAGTGTAGATTTGACTCAATCATTTCTGTTTATTGCATCCCGTTGCAGCTGGAGAAGGGAGAGGATGTCAACACCGGCCAAGAAAAGGTTGATGAGGGACTTCAAGCGGTTGCAACAGGATCCTCCTGCTGGCATCAGCGGTGCCCCATGTGACCACAACATAATGTTTTGGAATGCTGTTATTTTTGGGTATGACATCAGATGTTGAATGAGTGTATTGTGTATATAGATGTTCTGTAAAGGGCTAAGGGTTAAACTTTTTTTCCTAGTGTTTACTAATTTTTCGTTGTTGTAAATTTGCAGTCCGGATGACACTCCGTGGGATGGAGGTGAGGCATCTATTGTATTGTTCATGTTTTTCTTGTCTTAGGTCAATATGTGAATATATACACTCCCACTTTCTTCTTTAATCCAATGCCTTCTGTGCTGATACTCCCTCTGTTCATTATTAAACTTCACATTTGTATATATGATGTTTGAGTAAAGTTATTCAATTTATTTGAATATTGGTGTACAATTAAAAAGTAAATTTTATATATTTAAAAACTACTACATTAAAAGTTTTATAAAACAAGAGTTACTTTGATACTTTTATTGAAACAAATGACTAAAGAATATAACAATAAAGAAGATATTGTTTGGCATATTAGTAGTAAAAGTGAAGTTCATTTAGGGAATTGAGTATATGTTTTTTTTTGGTTTGTGTAATATTAATTTACATGCCTTGCGGTGTGGTGTTTCTTTGAAGATGACCTACCTTAAAGTTTGCGTTTTTGTCTTTTGATGCTTACCGAATCGAATTGTCTTTAGTCTTAGTGGTCTTTGGTACAATGCTAAGATTTAAGTTACCTTCTAAAAGTTAAACCTAAAAAGAGTATTCCAATTTGTTACACGCTGATTTAATATGGTGCATTACTCTAATTTTTGTTTGGTATGATATGATTTAACATTTTTAAATGGCAATCCTTTTTGTCAATAATCAATAATTGTATTCAGTATTCACATGATTGGCATAGGGCTATGTTTTTTTATATCTCAAAATTCAGGTTGCGTCCATTTTGTTAATCATGTCCCTGCAAATAGTGGCCGGTATCTTTGATTTGTTTTCTTTCTGTCAGGTACGTTTAAGTTGACACTTCAGTTCACAGAGGATTACCCAAATAAGCCACCAACCGTTCGATTTATTTCTCGAATGTTCCATCCTAACAGTAAGTTTCTACAGCACATGGGATTTCCTAAGTTTTATGTCAGAGTAGTTGTTTATAATGGTTCGTTTAGTAGAAATGTGGGTTGTAGCTGAAATATGTTCAATAACAATTTTATTGTAATATCATGGTTGATGGAACATTCTAAAAATGAGTGCTTATGCGATGTAGATATGATTCCATCCTTTTGAAAAATTTAGTTGCTGATTCATATTGCTAACTTAATCCCCTTTTGATAGTATTAGAGATATAAATGATGACTTATATGCTTGATTCACGATATCACATGCTTAGCTTTTGGGCGCCTTCTATCCTCCTGTACTTAAAATGACTTGTGTGATTGCATCTTAACCATTTTCATATGGTTGCTTAATTGCTTTCACCGGGGAATATAAAAGGTCATTTCTGAACTTCTCTCTCTCTCTCATACATCGAGAGAGAGAGAGAGAGAGACTTAAATGTACTCCTTCCCATATTTTGTGCCATACTTCTGCAAAAAAAAACAAGATTGAAGTTATTTCAGCAATTTAACTTCTGTTATGGGTCCATATCTCTGTACTTGTAGAATTCTCCCAAAAGAAATATACCCATCTCAATAACATTTCTTTTCTGGTCTCTACCCTGCTACCCATCCTGGTAACTAATATGGGCAGCCATCAGGTATGGAAGCTGGGATCTTTTTTTCAGATTTGTTTCTTTTGTACCATGAGTCAAAAACTAGTATTGTAAACTGGATTGTTCTAAGGCACCTTTTTTTCAAGCAAGAGATGTGGAATTGTCATAAAATTTAATGCTCACTCTGTCCCAAATGGATCTTCTCATTTGAAAATGGCATTCTAGACTAAGACTGGATGGAAAATGGTCTAAATGCCCCCACCTATTTTTTTGGGTTTAGTTTAAGTGAAGTAAAAGGTTGTATGTAGGTTTTGATTATAAAAGCGCCAATTTATTTAAAAGAAGTAAAAAGTGTATCCAAAAAAAGAAAAGTATTGTAAGACCAATTTGGGACACCCAAAAATTTAAGCGAGGAGATCACTCTAGGATAGAGGGAGTGTGTAATTTTTTCTTGGATTCTGGAACGATTGTTTACAACAAATCTCTTAGTCGGAATCAACACAAAATAATGAGTATGAAGTATTACTACATATGGCAAGAAATGAAAATGTGATACTTGTGGTTAGCAAGTTTGAGATCCAAATTGTTTCATTCTCATCAGCGAGTCGAAATGTTCGGCAGGTTGAAATGATTAATGCAGAGAGACTCAAGTAGTAAGTAGTAACGTAACTCAACATGAGCTTATGAAGAGAAATGGGCTCATGTTGCCAGATTTGGCTATATGCAGAGAGACTCAAGTACTTTTGAAAAATCATACAACAGTATTTGGAGTCATCTGTTGTTTTAATTCACCAAATCAGTCGTTTGATTGAAAAGTCAACCTAATGTGTACGAGATTTTGATGTTGTATACCAAATAGCTTAAGCCAATCCTTGGCTATTAATACTGTATACTATTACACTACTTTTTTTGTTTCTCTTTTCAGATAGCATGCACAAATTATATAAATGTTAGTCGGAATGTTTTGTTTGCTGAAATTTTGCTTCTGAGTTCTGATTTATTTTCACAATTGTATTTTTGTTCAGTTTATGCTGATGGAAGCATTTGCTTGGATATCCTGCAAAACCAATGGAGTCCTATTTATGATGTCGCAGCCATACTTACCTCAATCCAGGTATGTTGATGTATTTTTGAATTTTGAAAGGATGCTCGATCTTATTTGTGCTCTATAAAATCCTCTCTCTAGGTAAGGCATTATTTCTTGCAGGTTATCATATTGCATGCCTTCATGGCTTTCACTGTTAATACTTCTTTTTCATTTTCTTATTTTAAATTGTACTCGAAAAAGTCCTAATTCAAAAAACGTTTTTTGTTCCAATTTAGTTAATACTTAATACTCTGAGCTTTTTGGAAAAAGGTTTGTGGTATAAGTGACTATTCCTTAATGTTTTTGTTAAAGCTTGTACCATGATCAACTTTACTAGTAATGAAAAGGTTTACATTCTTCAAACATGGTTTTTTTGGGGGAAGGAGGGAACATTTTGTTTTAAATGAAGCTTCCTTATCTTAAGTAAGATATATTATCTGCACATTTTCTTCCCATATTTTTTGAAGCAAGTATAATTGAGGGAATCAACCATATGTAGATCGGTTCTGGTTTGGCAATGTATTTCTCTATATGACTATATGTATTATTTTCATCCAAACCGAGCTGTATAAAAACCTCAATAAGATTATACAACCTTAATCCCAACTCAATGTGGTTGGCTGCATAAACTAGTAGAAAACCTACCTAGGTCGCCCACTAAAAACTCCTTCCCCCCCACTATCATGCACTGTGAATCCTGTGATGCCTCCCTTTACACATCCAAACTTCAATCATAGTCATCTTTGGTGTTTTCAAATCCTCATTAAGACTTCTACATGCCAATCATAGTCATTTTTAGTGTTCCCGTATCTCTTTAATATTACACTTCATGACTCTACACTGTGGACTGGGTCACCTCTTCACAACATCTGACATGCCCAAACAAATGCAATATGTTCTTTTCTTTATCTTTTATGGTGACTGCTGGCAATTTCTTTTGAACCGTTGCATATTGCCATATTCTATCTTTAGTCTTACACCAAATTTATTCTCCCCACGGTTCTTACCCATTTTGGCTGTAATATGACACCAGGGTCCCACACTTCTTCATTGGGCCTGGGCCCGGGTCCTACCTCTCTAACCCCCCAAACCACAATCCTAACTCTCAGTGCCCCCTTTTCCTGTACCCAGCCCCTTACATTTTGCCAAAATGCTACAGTTTTTCCTTCAAATCCTTCATTGCCAACATTCTTATCCGTAGTATAAAGTTGGTCTTATGGTATTGTAAAATTTCTAACACAAATCCAAAACAAATCTAACCTGTCTAAGTTGGTTCTAATTCAGCAATCATTTCATCAACTCTTTTTAATCAACCCATTCCAAAACCCATCAAAAAAGTACCAAACCAAACTAGAAATGCATACTCCTATTTTGAAGTCGGGAATCTAAGTATTTCCTCAGTTAATTTGTTAACCTAGGCATATAATTTGTGATTACCTTATCAACCAGGAATCTAAATAAGCTATTTAATGCTTTTGTGATTTGCAGTCATTGCTCTGTGACCCAAATCCCAACTCACCTGCCAACTCCGAAGCTGCACGGCTTTTCAGCGAGAACAAGCGCGAATACAATAGGAAGGTGCGCGAGATTGTTGAGCAAAGCTGGACCGCAGACTAAACGCCTGATGCCACTCAGAGTCAGACCAACCTTATCTGATTCTCTTTTGGTCTGTTAAACTCAAGTGTTGTTTGCTTCATCATCTAAAACACACAAATCATCCTTCCAAATGCTTTTAGGGACCATGATTTGTCTTTTATCTCAAGACTTGGCTGCTTATATATGCGACCCTTTTGAATGTACATAAGATTTCTTGAATCAAGGTCTGTTGAACTTTGTGAACCTTCTCCAAGAACCTCTTGACGGCTCTCTGGTCAGTTTGGGTTCGTTTTTCAAGTTTTGGATGTCCAAAAGTACTCTTTAGTGAATCAAGATGGGTCATGCTATAGTTTAGTCACGGTTTCATGGGTGATACTAAGACCATAGGGTGTGGGATCCCGTGATGGCCACGTGGGACGCATGGATGGGGAACGCCGCCCTCTCACCTATGGCTGTGATAGGTGTGGACCCCCTTCGACTCGTCTCTTTCTCCTTTTTTTTCTTTTTTGTTTGAAATCAATGACATGTTTTAATTTATGCACTTTTATTTTTATGATCTAATTTCATATTTAATCTCGATGATGAATATTTTTTTAAATGAACTTTTAAATTTTTTGTATGCACTTTTAAATTTGAGTATCTGCCTTTTTAATCATACTTTCTAGTTTAGATATTCTTGATTAAAATAGATAAAACTTTTCATATGTTTTATATATGTCTTCTCACATATATTTTCTGTCAAACAACCAAAGTTCAAGCTTATGATTGTAGTTTTGGAAATGTTTTTTATATTTTAACACATCCCTCAGACCATCTCCAATGAGATGCTCACAAGAGATGCTAGGAGGAGAGAGAGTGAGATGTTGATGGATGCTATTGTTGTAGGTGGGTGTTCATTATAGATGCCCAAGGAAGAAAAAGAGAGGGGGATGCTTCACATAGCACCGATGCTTGAAGGGGAAGGGTTTCATGCATTCATTTCTTTAGTTTTGTGGTCCAATGATTATGTGTCATGTGTCATATATATATTCAATTCTTTTTATGGCAATTTTCTTAAATAGCTCTCTTTTTAAATACTTTTCCAACAAATTTTTTTTGTAATTCCAATAAATATTTTAAGTAAATGTTTTTTTTTACAAATAGTTGCAAATTAAGATTTTTCCTTAAAAAATGGATTTACATCGAAATAGGTCATTTTTAGATTGTTTTGATATTGATGGAGAACAAGCTAGTTTTAAAATATAAGGAGTAGTTTTTTTCAATATAATATTTTCAAGTTTTGTATAATTAATACTCCGTAATTTATTATACAACTAAATACTTATACTCCGTAATTAACAAAAAATAAAATATAAATATATTTTAGTTGACCTACTATATTAATTGAATAGATTTTTAGGCATCCAAATGAGATGCTACCATTGAAAGAATGAGATGTTGATAGAGGTGCTAAAATAAGATCTTTACAGTGGAGCCCACACTTGAGCATCTAATGAGAGATGTTGCCATTGGGGATGCTACATAGACGCAGTCTTTTTGAATCTTGCATTTGAAACCTAAATTTTTTTTAAATTGGATGGCATTGAGTTTCAAACTCATAACGTGTAGTCAAGAAGACTTTGATATTATGTTAAGGAATTAATTCAACCAAGAGCTCAAGCGATTCTTTTATAATAATTTTGTAAATGAGTGACATCAAGCGATTCTTTATAATAACTCTGTAAATGAATTGTTTGAAGGAAAAATACTTGTATTTAGATGTAACTCTTGCTAGACTTTTTTAGTTTTACCGAGAGTTTTGAATAAAGAAATTGTTGGTGCTATATTTAATTTGTATTTGTAGTCATATTATAAAGTTTTACGTTAACAAAGAATGAGATTGCATTCAACTGGATGTACTTAAACAACCAAACTTTTCATAATGAATAAGCAAAATCAATGATGAGAAATTTGGTGATGTTAAATCTGGAATTCATTACGTTGAGATTTCGTTCAACTCTTTGAAACTTAATTTGAGTTTTCCATTTAAAAGTATAGTACATAATAAAATTTACATATCTGAGCTTATTGGAGAATACTTCTTCCGATGTTTTTATCTACTTTCAGTTTTAAGACAAGGGCGAGCATTGTTAAAGAGTTATGAAAAATGTCATTAGCACAACTCTTGTCTTCGAAAACAAAATCGAAAAGATCATTTACATATCGTTTAATCCTGAATTGCCCTTGAAGTTGCATAGAAGACAATTTCTTCTAGTGTTTTGTTATTTCGATTAATTAAAGTGAAGATCAAAGATTTTAATTATTGAATTATTTTTTACCCAGATGTTTTCTCTTACGGTCAATTTTATATTATTTCGCAAGTGAAAACAAAGGTATGATAAAAAATATATGAATAACATATTGACATGTCGATTTCCAAAGTTATATAGAAAATTTTTCATACTATGAGTAGTTTATTTAAATTTTAAATACACATGTACAAAAAAATAAATTAATGGAATGGTATTGAATTAGTGACAACTTTCATTCATTTATGGGGTAATTATGGCCGACACCTAAAACGTCCTTAAATTTAGTTAATGATTTTCTTTGTACAGCTGTTGACGTTTCCTTATGCAGCTAATGTTGTCATTTTCCTATTAAGAAAATTGCCGCAATCAATTCGCCATTTCTATTGGGCCTATCTGGTGGGCTTCAAGTATCTCCCACAAATCCAAATCATTCCCTCGATGCGGCTCACCCCACACGCGCTTCTCATCACACGTACTCTTCAATCCCTCTATATCTTTTTTTTTTTTCAGGAAAAAAAAAGATGAGCCCCATTCCTGAAGGTCCCCCAGACCCGGTGGGAAGGTCAATGAGAAGAGGTAAATTGAAATTTAATTGTAGATTGGTGGCAAAGACTGGAGCATGCACCTGATACTTGCAAAAGCCATATGCTTAGCATAATTGTCTCCCAACGCAGTTGCCTAGAATAACTCGGGTCTTATCTCTTCGGCACTCCTTGCCTTGCCAACTGCGCAACGCCCACCGACATCTTTTTTTCCAATGGAGAACTACTTCATATGTTAGTAGGATTGCATGTTACTTTGTGTTTACAAGATGATCAAAACTTCTTACAAATTATTTTTAATTTATTTTTAATAGAATTAGAAAGAAAAGAGAGTATTCAAAACACAATTTAACTTTTTTTTTCCACGTAGGAGCTGATCGGGCAAATGAGAGTAGCGACGTGAAAATATAAAAAAAATAGAGCAATGATGTTAATTATCAAATCTGGAAATATTTTCGTGAAATTCGTATTTTTTGGAGCATTGTACAGTGTCAACACCTATATTCAAGGAATAAAAGTAGGAGATCTCATTTTGGTAAAGTTTAATATTTTATTTTTATTTAAGTAGATATTTTCAGATACTCCGTAAAGCGAGAAGAAATTAAGAGATTAATATTAATATTAAAAAATACAATAAAATAGGATAATGATGCCAAAATTGATATTTAAAAGTTCTACTTACTCACATTTGGCAAATTCTACTCCGTAAAACGAAGAAGAGATTAAGAGATTAATATTAATATCAAAAAATAAAAAAATAGGATAATTTTGCTAAAATTGGTATTCAAAAACTCTCCTTACCCCGTGAGCACAATTAACATTTGGCAAATTCTTTTGTTATCCTTGAATTCCTACTCATTTTACGAACTTCAATGCATAAAATAAATTTGGGTCATGCTAAGAAATCATCACATGAGTGCTACCATGGATGCACTCATGCTTTGCACAAATAATACAAATGGTAATCATTTGTGTGAAGGACTGAAAGCACACCCATGATGGTATCCTTGTGGTGACTCTTTAGTATTTTTTCAATAAATTTTTATATTAAGATTGGAAAAAATGAGATTTAATCATGAGTATATAAAATTCATGAGAAAATCAACATTTAATCAATGAGTATATAAAATTTTTAGTTTTTTTACTTTTTATAAAGTCTAAATGATTTATTAAGAGGAACAAATACACTTAGGTCCAATTTACCTTTCTCTTCGAGTCTGAGGCATTGTTTTTCTTTTTGGAATTGTTTGCTGTTTCTTTTGGAACCAGCGACGACGACTGTCAGCACCTGCCCTTTTTGGCACTTTCTTCCTCCTTCAACTCTGAACACCCTCGCCCTCTCTCTCATAGGAGTTCATGTCTGTATATGTTCTCACCGTTTGAGCCTTTTCACCAAAAACAAGAGAGGGTTTGGAAATTCAAATTTCCCATCTTCTTTCCCTAATCTGATATATAGTCCAGACATTTATCCAGTCTCTTACGGGTGTCCATTGAGGTAAAAATCAGACCTTTTTTGTTTTCTTTTCATGCTCCGGATGTTTTCTTCACAGATTTCTCTGTTCTTTGAATGAAGCAAGAGTTTTGCGATTCAGTGATTTCTGTGTCGGTTGATAGAATTAGGGATTTTTTAAGATTTGGGTTCTTGGAATGAGCCAAGATGGTTTCTGGGAATGCCCATTTGAAGAATTCTTGGGTTCAGTACAGGAAAGATGGGTTCTTGACATACCCTCCTCCTCTTCCTTCTGGAAATTTCCAGAGCCAAACAAGCCCTTCTGGCGGCAGCAAGATTAGTCCAGCAGTCCTTTTCGTCATAGTGATTTTGGCTGTGCTTTTTTTCATATCTGGTCTCCTGCACTTGCTTGTTAGATTTCTAGTCAAGAACCCTTCTTCTTCCTCGTCTCTCGAATTCGAACCGAATCCCGAAGCTTCTAGCCCTTCTGATGCCTTACAGAGACAGTTGCAGCAGCTCTTCCATCTACATGACTCTGGTCTGGATCAAGCCTTCATTGATGCTCTTCCAGTCTTCATGTACAAACAGGTTGTGGGTCCCAAAGAGCCTTTTGATTGTGCAGTTTGTTTGAGTGAGTTCTTGGAGAAGGATAAACTCAGATTGCTCCCATCTTGCGGCCATGCTTTCCACATTAATTGCATTGATACATGGCTATTATCCAACTCTACTTGTCCTCTTTGCAGAGGAGCCCTTTTCAGCGGTGGGTATTCCATAGACAACCCGATGTTCGATTGTGATGGAGTTGGAGAAGACGACGGGGATACCGGGGTTTCAGTTTCTCAGAAAACAATCGATTTGAATGAGATCACAGTAGAAAAGGAGGGAACTTTTCCGGTTAGACTTGGCAAGTTCACTAAAGTGAATGATGATTTGGGAGTTCAATGGGAAGGAGAGACTAGTAGTAGTAATTTGGATGCTAGAAGGTGTTATTCAATGGGGTCATATCAATATGTGGTTGGTAATGCTAACCTTCGGGTGGCATTGACCGGTCAAAGAAACGTGAAATCAAGAGATGTTGAAGGGAATGGGAGAAGGATAGGTATCGGTGCAAGAAACGATAGCTATTCAACATCAAAGATTTGGTTGTGGTGGGAGAAGGGGAAATTCGCAAGCTCTTCGGACTCCAATGAGGAAGAACATCATCCTCCTTTTGATATGGTCTCACAATGGAAGAGTAGAGAGTAAGGCAAGTGAATTGTTCTTAATGATATGCTCTTTGTTTTTTGTTTAAAATTCTTTCTTCTTTTTACAGTTCATTGGCTTTGATTGAAAGTTTAGAGCTTCTAATCCTAGATTTATTCATAAAAAAAAGATGGTAACTTTTTTATGTAACATGGTAGATCTGTGGTTGGGTCCTTTTTCTGTTTTGAGAATGGGATTCTATCAAATTGAGAAATGTCTAGTTTCTTGGAACTCTTGAAATCCAACATGATTTATGATTCATGTGTTTGAATACTATGGGTGATTTTTTCTGATTATATCTTGACACACACTGACTCCCCATACCCTACTTTTTGTGGGATTTTGTTGTATCTTGACACACTGCCCTTACAAGCAGCTGCCTATTGACTGCATTAAGCTTAGCCAAATTTCACAGCTTGCCCTTGCTCTAGTTTCTCTGTGTTTTCATTGATTGTAGCTCTTTTTAGGGGTAATTTGGTCCCAATCTTTCGTCTGGTGTCATGTTTTATACAATGAGGTTGTATTGCAGAACTAAACAAAAGCAAACCAAACAAGGTTTTGTTCATCCCACTCAAGTGTAGGGTTTTCTATGAACACGGACCTCAATCCCAAAACCCGAATCATTGTTCGATCACTCCCATGTCTCACTCAATATTTGTCAATACACGTGCAATTTCGTTCATTTCACAACCATTATGATTGAACTAGTGTCAAAATGTTATCCCATTCTCCAGATGTTGTCACATAACACAACAATGAAGTGGGACTACTTTTTTGTACTATGTGACAACATCTTAAGGGTGGGACATGAGAGTGGGACAACATTTTTGAGGATGGTTGTGAAGCAACGGATACCTACCCTACCCTACGTGCTAAGGACGAGTTTAAAAACCCATTTTTTTCGTTCAATTAAGTACTCGTGTAGGGGTTTGTTTGGACAATTGGGTGGGGTGTAAGGAAGAGCAATATGAGGCGGTGGCATATCCAGAAATTCATCTTAAGGGGTTGGGAATAGTTCGGTGTTTGGGGTAGCGCCCCGCGAATTGTTTTTAGTGCAATTTGAATTTTTGCCAAGAATTTAGGGGGACATTTTACTCAACACTTAGGGAGGGTAATTTGGGGTTTTTTTGGAGTGAGTGTGTGGAGGATTGGTTCTAAGTGTTTACCTGTAAAAACACATATTTTTCTCCAAATTATAACCTTAAAAAATAGGTCTGGAAATATCAGCACTCCAATTTATTTTTTTCAAAAAATACCAAAGCAAGACTCCAAGTTTGTCAAAGAAAAAAAAGACCAATAATAATTGAATATGGAGGTAAAATGTCAAAGATACTCCATACTGATATAGTGGAGTACTGGTCAACAGTTGGGATGTGGGGCCGGCCGCTGGCGGCAAGCGTTGAATCATGTGCACCTCTCATCTCCTTAATTTCCACATTAATTTGTGTTTTGTCTAGGAGGTGCTTCGAGAGACAATTATGCTAAACATAGAGTCTATGTAAGTATTATGTGTCAGTTCCATGCTTTGACATCAATATGCGATCAAAGTTTAATTTACTTCTTCTTACTGATCATCCGGCCGCGTCTAAGGGCCCTCGGGGATATGATTCATTTTTTTTATGAATTTGTACTCTGTGTGTCCTCTTAAAAGATTCACATTTTTTTATTGGAAAAAATTTTCTCACTAGATATGAGTTTAATAATAATATTAGGAACTAATTTTCAAATGACATATTTTTTGTAAAATACAGATCATATTTACATGTAAATATAGATATTAACAATTACATTGTTCTATGAGAAACTGGACGAATGATGTATACTCTAAAATAAAATTTACTCGGGGTATACTTTTCTATTTCCCCTTTAAATGAATATGTGACTTATACCTTTGACATAGTTTTATATCATTTTTTAAATGAATTAAATTAAAAATAATTTCAATATAGATCGTGTATGGAATCAGAAATAGATTTAGTAAACATCGTGAATAGAATTAGAAACTTTTTTGAGTGGTCATCACCTATGTTTTTAACGAAGGCTAAGTTCCTAACACATCATCATGATACATAGATTACAAAATTTGACTTTAACGATTTCACTAAAGAGCATGCCTCCTAAACCCCAACAATCCAACATGCATTAGCGAGTGCACTTATTCGTAAAATCGTCAAAGATGTGAAGTACACTTTGACATGACCATTAGAAAAAAAGTCATTTTAGAATGTATACGAGTACTACATGCCCAAGACTTTCTTCTTGTCATCCCCATAGATGGGCTTGGCCTACGCTGGTGGAGCATCGTTCTATCTTCAAGTATGAACTCGTGATAGCCTTATTTCCCGTTCATGAACAATACCATGTTTGACGCAAGGTGTGTTTGGATCCATTTTTGGAGAGCATGTCGTACATTGTAGAGAGCTACGTACCCAGGTTTAAGTCCCGACATGATTTGGTCATCAAGAACAGTTTCTTTGACATATTTTGACGTGTCAGGATTTCTGTTAAAAAAGAAGTACATGTGGATTTCTTGATTTACCCGTTGAAAGAAGTATCCACGCTTAGACGAGTTGACATTTTGGTCTTTAGATGGATGAGTGGGAAACACACTCATGTTGATTTAACACGGGACTAGCTGGTGTTTTCATGGTGGGCCAGGATACGTTAAAAGTTGCTTAATATATACAACGTAACAAAACACGAGAGAGCGTGCCTCCGCAACCAACACGTGTTTCCTCTCCTCTGAAACCGTGGAGCTACTTAATCGAGTGCAGCGGGTCATACATAGTTTTGTTATGTACATCACCTTGTAAGAGATTGGTGAGGAAATCTTTTTGTCCTCACTATGGGCATCAATGTCACAAACTTACATTCACAACATATTTCTATCATAGTCGAAAAAGTTGGGTTATGGCTGTCATGCAATATATGTATATAGTTGATGATGAGGACGTACGTTAACTGATCAGCCTATATTTATAATTAGCTTGGCTTCCAAGTCTCCACCATGCAAAAATCATTTTGCTATTGAAAATGTGTCTCTCTATATATACTGAGTTTAAGTTAGGCGTGTTTGGGCACTCCTTGTCATTTCAATCCATCTTATATTCCATCTCTTATAAACATATAAGCCATATGCCCCTTCATAGTTTATAAACCAAACAGACCTGCAAATATATATATGGGTTTACATCATCATCATCATCATCATCACAACATGCAAGTCACCATGGCAAACCAACACGGGCATCATCATCATCATCATCATGAACCGCTCGCGGTCGTGTTCTTGATCCTCAGTCTCCTCGTCGTCTCCGTTCACTCCCACCACCTCTACGCCGCCAATCCTCCGCCGCGAACCCACCAAGAAGAAGCCAAGAGTGATGTTCATGACATCATTGATGCCGGAAGAGCAGTACTTGTCACTTCTTTTCAGGCGGTCAAGGTCTCGGGTCCCAGTCCCCGGGGAGCGGGGCATGCGATCATTCATGATCGTCGAGATAATGGTCGTCTTCATCACTAGCGTTTGAACGATTTCTGTGGTTGGATGTATTCCGTGGACTCTTTAAATTTACTTTGACATCTGGCAAACATTATATGTTTTTCATTCTATGAAAATGTGAGTATATTTAACTTTTCACAGTCTCGAGATAACTCTCCACATATTATAGTTAAAATCTATGAACATTGACCAAGAAAAGTTTAAACAACACATTTTTTGGGCAAGAAAAAGTAAATGATATGGAATATTCAAAGTTGTATAAAGATGATATAGAGTGATTTTTTTGCACATATGCATACATTTGAAAGCTTTTAGTTTCCACTTTATCATTTTCTTAGAATTTGTTTTTGCTGTAAATTAAATGACAAAATAAAAAAAACCAAACACCATTGCTTCTCCAATATAGTCACGATGAATTATATACTTCCTCCGTTCCATAAAACTTTTCAAAGATGAAAAAAGACGAGATTTAAAAATGTGTAATTTTGTCCTCGATTTATAATATGATAAGATATGATGTTTATGATAGACGGTCCTGAAGTAATTAATAATTGGTCTATATTGATTGTTGAGTAAGCAAATACGAGTATATAGTATTATTTTCCATTGCTTGATGGGAGTGGGGATAGGCCCTCTCTCAATGTCTAAGCAAACTAAGCATGGACCTAGAACCCCTGATTTTTAGGGTCACAAACTTTTTAAATCATATACTTCCTCCGTACCACAAAACACTTCCTCTTTCCTTTTTCATCCGTCCCAAAAACACTTCTCTTTTCCTATTAAAAAGTCACATTAAGTTCCAAGTTAAAGCAACTCAAGTAAAAAATGTCTTACACACTAGTCAGATATTATTATCAGATATTGTCTATCGAACTCTCCGTAACAAAAGGCCCCAAGATAATTAATTTGACGATCGGGACTCCCGAAAGGCTAACAACGCAATAGGTGGGGCCCGAGAGTAGGGGGGACTAGAGTGTGCTTGCAAGAAAGAAACTAAACCCCTAAAAAGAGTGTATATATAAGCAAAGAATGCAAGGAGAGGAATTTCTATATTTGGAGAAGGCATGCAACATATATGTATACATCTAATCATCATTTGGTTAATTGTGTGACAGTTGTGTGTACATACTCCCTGGGTCCTTTGTGTCATTGTCATTTTGTCACCATTCTAATGATGTTTAACCAATTTATTTTTGTCTCTTTTTTCATCTCCCTACCCGGCCCGCTTGTAACGCCCGAATGCATATATGTCAAGCCGTTAGGTCTCAGACTACCCGTCCAACACGCATGCGGTCAGAAACGGTTCGAGTATAATAAAATATTTCTTGTGCCTCCCATTAAAAGATTGAATTTTTAGTTGAGTTGGTTCATTAAATGTTCAATACTGGAATGAGTTTGAATTGCTTGTTTTGATCTCTTAGATTATTTTCACCATTAGATAAAGATAGAGAAATTTACTTAAATAGGACTAAAACATAATGACTTTCCCAATATAGGACCATATGTTTTTATTTCTCAATGTATGACTTTTGGTCATTATCAAGTAGTCATTATTCAAGTAAATGTCCATCATTACTGGACATTATTCCTCCAACGAGATCATTATTAAGTCATATTTAGGGAATAAAAAAGTTTAAGTCCTATATTGGGAAAGTCATTATGTTTTAGTCCTATTT